CGATTGCCGAAGCCAAGGTTCAGCATCATCTGAATCGTACAGTCCCCCCACAGACCCTCGGGCAAACGAACATGCAGTTGAAGAGGCATCCCGGACTGCTCACACGAGCCAGCTCCATCCAGCACCTGCTGACATGTTGAATTAAGAAACCAGAGCCACACACTTTGAGTTTGTCCGTGCCGCCATCATGCTACGGCAATTCTGGAGACTATAGCTTCACAATGCATACACTTTGGCTGCGTGCACGCTTCTGCTGCCGGGAATGTGTCTGTTCTTCATCTGAAGCAAGCGCAATGGAGCAATTCTTGCCTAATATGTGCAACACCTCGACATGCCTTGATACTTTGAGATCATGAATAAGCCGCGGGCAGAGCAACCAAAGAGATCACAATGATTCATAAGTTGTCAGCGTGCACAACCTGTCTGCCAGTAGTATCCCACAGCTTTCCAGCTCTCAAGTTTGCGGTTGGTGCCAAGCCTTCACAATGCCATCTTGTCTGTCTCTCAAACTCAGCAAGTTGCGCCCAAAGGATGCGGAGTCCTCCACATGCGATCAGGAAAATCGTTCAGTCTTCAGCCGTCGGTCTTCTACAGCCGTTTGCTACTAGTTCACCTGACTTTTATGCACCAACGCCAGTGCAAACATGCGCACAAATATCCAAAATGATAGATCACAGGCCATGCTCGCAGGATGACATAGCTGAAGATTTGCGCACCTTCGTTGATCTGACAACTGGCTGAATTGATGGCAGTGAGCATGTCGTGCAAGAAGCTCCTCACTCTCCGCGGCGGTAGAGAGATCAGCTGCGCCTGCCAAAGTCTCGGGAGACAAAACTGATTTATCGGTCGCTTTATCTTAATGATGCAGAAATAACCTTTGGCCCCATGGTTCCTAACAAACGTTATAATGTTACAACCCATGCTACACTTACAGCGGCAGACACGTAATGTGAATGATGCTGCCCCATTTGGACCTTTGTGCCTTGCGGTGCAACCAGGAAAGCCAACCAAAGTTGCGCCAAACTTGTGGTAAGTGCCATGCGTTCATGTCACAGCCAAGGTGAAACTGCCCCTATTATGTTCTACTAAGATCTATGATCTGGTCTAAAGCCCAGGTCAAGTTTGCTTCGACTGAAGACAAATACTAGCTGCTTGCGATGCTGAACGTGGAGTTCAACATCAAGGTTCATGGTGAATCATTGTGCCGCCCCTTCTACACAGCAGACTCCTGATGTGAGCTTTCTCCATTTCTATGCGTCCTGTGCCCCAGGTTCCCCATGAACCAAACTGCAACTCAATGGGCAGCGGCGAAACCACACATCAGCCACCTGTTCGAAAGTGTTCAGAGGCGCGAGCTGCAGTCCAGAACTGCGAGTTGACCCAACTTATGCGCTAGCTCTACCTTCAGTTGCTGCTCTGCTAAGGTGTACGAAAATCATGAGGGTCTTTATGATATTGACCACCGTCATCAAGTCTAGAGCCATAATGGCGGACACACCACTGGCAGAAGCTCACAAGCAATGCCAGCACTCCTTCCGGCACTTGAGCGGCTTGGATCCTGCAGCAAGACTAGAGTTGGGCAGATTGGACCATGCTGTAGAATTCACCTCGGGATCTGTTTGGCTTCATCTCTACAACAATTACATCCTTCACCTGAGCAAGTCCCTGTGTTCTGAAACTGCATTGCTTTTAAGTGGGCTGCCCTATTGTTCCTCTGACATCACCTGAAGACATCCTAGACAGAACTCGCGATTCAGCCGGTGTGGGATCTTCCGCCAACGTGGCTTTCCCGAATTCTCACAAGCAGATCGAGGTCACGCCGAAATGCCAAAATGGGTTCTGCACTAGCCGAGGCATCGAAAGCCGATCGCCGCAGATCATCGGGAGCTATGTGTCCACTTTCCAGATGATGCACTTGGAGAAGGCATCCCAGAAGGCTGCTCACTTGACGAGGAGACTCTTCTCTCAGAACGTTGAGAAGCATTGCCTGAACATACACAGCAAAACATTGGCGGACGACCACATGGTCCGGAAACTGGACAGCCCGGAACAGCTGAATGGCTTGCATAGTTGTTTCAACAGCTTGGAGAAGCTGTGCATCCTGATAATGAAGACGGAACGGTGGCCTCTCGCCGATAGGCCCTGACCTGGCTGCACAACGCCTTGCTGAGCGGCCTCATCAACGACGCACCTTGCGCCGCTATCCTGATTGTCGGAAAAGCGTCAGACACGAGGGAACTCGAATGCAGTAGGCCCTCAATAGGCCCAGCACCAGGGACAGGGTCAGGGATGGAGTTGTGAAGATTTGTGTGAAGTGTGCTTATGATTCTACATGACCAGACTGCGCAGGGAGACACATGTCCAGAGATGCTTGATGAAGTCCACCACGGACGCGCGCTTGTCAAGTACTTGATGCTGAAGACTTGCAATGAGTGCGATATCGTTCCGTCACTACAGCCCGAGCAGAAAGGTTAGTCATAAAAGACGAGGTGGAATAGGACTAGCGCAAACACTGCGAACAAGTGCCCAGCAAGCATCGCGCAGGCATCTGCTGGCTCCTGTCCGGGGCACCCTATCTAGGTGCAGAGTCCGTTTCATAGGAGCAAGCGGATCTGCGCCGTGGCAACGCGCCGCTGCGTAAACTTGCGGAAGCTCTCTCCTTTGTGTGTCCGAAGCGGATGTTTTCAATGCTACGCACTGGCACCGCAAATATTTTCGGAAGCTGCGTCCATATTTCGGGATGCCAGACTGAGCGGATGAGAGACTGCAAACCTCTTTGGAACGTGACCCGCGGCTGCGATGTTGCGCCATATCCCGGATCGTAGAATGGCCCCGAAGTGCAAAGTCCCGACAGCACACAAACTGCTCCGTGAGATGTTAGCGGTACTTGCGCCAGCACCTTGACTAAAGCAAAGCCAGAAAGCCTTTGTCCCAGTCTTGTGATCTTACTGGGGTTCAATGAACCCATGTGCCCGAGACTAGCGCCTGCCAGACTTGTAGCAAAGGCTGGCTTCTGGCATCGGAGGAACTTATGCAATGAGGGCATTGCGTGTGCAGAGATTGCTTGAAATGGCTGAGACACTGGTACAATTAAGTTTGTATGGCCAGCGTCGTGAGAGACCGCGTAAAATTAATCAACAGAAGATGTACACTTTGAAGGGCACTTGCTTGCGCGTCACCAGGTCACAAGCAACCTCCCTCGCACGCCTTGCCGCCCTTTGCCAACGCAGCTGGCATGGGCCTTGCAAAGGCTGGCAAGAGTAGATGACTAAGCACGCGTTACGTTTTTAGTCAATGCAAAGTCGCATGTCTTTGGCCTGAGCAAGGGGCAAGGGGATTCGCCGGTTGCAAACAAGCGGCGAATCGGAGCCAGTGGCCAGGAAAGAGTTCAACACCTAAGGTCATGTAGCGAACATCTTCAACATGCGTTGCAGGTTTACACTCTTTAAATCCTGCGCGACTGTTAGTTTCTGCGACGATGGTTATTGTGCTGCAGGCATTTGGTGCAAATCCTGTTTCCTGACGCAACCCCCACTTGCTTGGCGACAGCAAGGCTGACAACAACTCTGGCATATCCAGGCCAGGTGGTCCAGACTTGACACACCTTGAACTTCCCAAGACCTCAAGAACTGGAAGCTCATCGCGAGAATTGTCTCACATGCTCGTGCTGTGCGCGGAATGCAGCACGAGCGAAATGAAGGAGCTATGCATAGATTCACATAGATGCATGACCAACTGATTCGCTAAGAGTAGAAATGCAAGATGATGAGACGTGGCCCCTTTTTCGCCCAGTTCTGAGCTTCTCGCCTGATGCCGTATTGTTGGTAAAAGATTTGACACATGAGATGGCTCGACACCAGCTACTCCAATCTATATGTGACACTTGGCTCCCAGCAGTGACCTTGACCTGCATAGCGGGAGCAAGCAAGCTCTGGCCACTTCTGCTGCACAGCTAGTCTTTGCTGATCTCTGAACAGCACCCCCAAACCACAGTTACGGCAAGTATCGCAGGACAAAGGCCTTGAGAGAAGGATCCATCTCGGCAAGCGACTGGGGGCTCTCCTCCAGTGCCAGCTCGCCCTCGAAGCCTTCCAAACGCCCATCCCTTGAGCTTACGCCCTGTGATCTATGGCAAAGAATGCTCTTGGCGCTCTAAACTCGGCAGAGGCAAGAGGGTAGGCTCAAGGCATTCAAAGGTTCTGCTACAACTGCCACGGGACTCCCGAAAAAGCATGCCCCAGCATTCTGCTGCGATGTCTCGGAAAAGGAAACTGTGAATGCACAACGACCTCTGTTGGATGATCCCCTAAAGGCATCAGGCCCCCTCGACCTACACCTGCTGCATCATACCCACATATGAATGCACGTATGCAGCTATGTGTGCATGCAATGATGAATTCATTTGCACGTATGCATGTACACCTGCATGATGTGCATGTCAAACAGTATGCTTGTTGCAAATCCCCGGTCTTGCAAGGGCCTCGACCACAAACAAAGAACTGCCTGATGATCAGCAACTTTACTAACGCAGCAACTTCAGCAAGCTGCAAATAAGCCTAAATGTGTGCGTGAGCACCGACCGGAAAAAGCCTCATGTATGCTTGTTTAGACGGGACGCCATGGACCATATCGGCCGTATGTACGCCCCTTCCTAGCCACCAGCCAATCCGACGTTCAGTCTCTGCCGCCTGCTGCAATGAGCCTGGAGGCTGGCAGGTCTGCCTGTGCGTCACTTTACGCTCACAAACAGCTTGCTTAATGCTTCTTACAGCACTTTGGAAACAGGTTGGCTGTTCGGGTCAAGAGCCCATAGGAGAGGGAGAGAGCTTACATTAAACAAACGGCTGGAAAGTACAGTGCAGGCAAACTATTTCAGTCAGGTAGCACACCTTCTTACCGCATACACCCAAGAGTATGTGCGTCAAGCGATGAAGATGTAGGGGCATGCTTCTGAGCTTGCCTTAGTAGAGCTTGCAGTTTGCTTCTGCTGCATTCTGCTGCTATCGCGCCTTTCCCAAAGCTCCGCCCTTGGTCCCCTGGACCACGAATCGCAGCGAATCGCCTCATCAATTGGCTGCGCAAAAGAATTCGGGAGGTTGAGCTCGCGAGCGTATACACTTTATGCGTGATAATGAACTCCTAGCCACAAGATTCCAGGTTCTAGCCACCAGCTATCCCCTAACCAGAAGCTGGCAATTGCTGGCACTGCGGCTCCTGCAGTTGTGCACTTTCTCATGCAAGCCAGTGTCTGTGTGACATCTGGAGTTCGTCTGTGTGATTCCACGCAGGATTCTTGGCATCTCGGACCTGTTTGGTCAGGAACTTTGTCTCCTCCTGGCCAGTCAGAATCAACGAACTGCGTGATCCCATCTTCCAATCTCCCCCTCACTGCACAGCAAGATCGGGGCATGGATTGGGTGACAAACTGCTTCAATGAGTGTCCTTGCCAACCACTGCCACTGCACCTGAGTATCTCTACGTTGAATCTCCAAGTCTACCTGAAGGGGACGTCATTTCGCATGTGTGACATTCTATGTATCGGAAGAGCATGTCGGAATCGTTCCGTTGGTTTGCTCAATTGTGCAGTCGAGACGCATGAGAGAGCTTCGCTGTCCTCGGTGGCGCGGGCAACCCATGAGCAGCGGCTGGCTGTGTCATCACTGTACTGCAATCGTGCGTCTTATCCGAAAGACACGAGCTTGAAGATTGCTGATTTGACTTGCCAAAACTCTGGATGATACGATGCATGCCAAAACACTGGTCCGGGTCGCCAGTTCTTAGCTCTCAATCCTGTGCCAGAGAGCACGCATACCTGTCAACAGGCTGGGCAATTCGTGTCCAAGCAAGGCTTCCTGCGTTTGTTGAGAAACTGTCAGAAGCAATCAGCCTGCAGCTGGTAAATCAGCATGGACATCTTGGTGATGAGGGCACTTTGCCCGGCAGCTGTAGCCTCCTCACAAGGGATTCAGCCAGATCGCAGGTCACAGCTTGTAAAGACCGAACGCACCTCAGGTAAGCAATTACAAGTAGAAGGCATTACATCCCCTGTGCAGGCTGCTACTTGCCACAGTTCAGCTTCGCTTGGGCCCCATGCTGGCGGCCGCAACGTTGCTTGCACCAGCTAAGATGCATGATAGGAATCCTCAAAAAGCATCTCTTGACAAGCATCTAACTGGCTCACAAAGTCTATAGAAAATCCTGTCAGCCTGACTTGAACCGCCTGGAAAAAAAACAGGTTCTGTGGCAAAGCCTTGCAATCTCTCTCAGCTCATCTGCCGAAATGTGCCGCGAAATCCGTAGATTGCTTTAGGAACTACTTTAGTACACCCGGACCTGCACACGAAGCCTCAACTGCGCTGCGATCTCCAACCGCAGCCGTAGCCCCATCCCGAAGCTCAACTTCAGGTAACTTCCCAGGAAACTGGGAGAACAACTGTTCCGAGAAATCTTTCCTCGAAATCTGGATCAGCAGAACTCCAGCCGAACTCACTCTCACCACTTCAATTCAAGAACCCTAGGCACTCCATTCTGGGCTTTCGAACTCGTGGCCTCCACGCCGAGTTCCCGCAGCTTGGCTTCAGCATCGGCGCATCGTTTCGAGACATCCTGCGAACGGCTTGGAGGGGAAGGGGCAGGAAGGGTTTGCCGAAGCTCGGTCGTGCGTAGAGCATTCACTGTCAAGAATTTACTTTGCCAAATGCCACTTGTTTCATCTTATTTCACTCCCCTATCCGAGCGCTGTGGTGAAGCTTGGGATGAAATTGTGGAGAGGAAGATTCAAAGCGTCACGCAACATCATGCACCAGCCCTGTTTGTGGGCAATATGCGAATGGCATCGGAGACATTCCCTCAGCTCGCGCAAGACTCAAACAGCTTATGTGGATGTGCTTCTCATTCACGTGTCCAGCAACTCCACGCGGAGGGCGTCATAGGCTTCACGTTGCACCTCCTCATCACGCTTCGCTCCATACCTTGGTAATTTTACGCGCTGAGGTCAGCGGTACGTCTCTGAACTGGCGAAAGCCGGGCAAGCTTGATTTCAAATACAGAGCTCTGGGCAGGAATGTCGGTATCAAATGTAATGCCATGGTGCTTGCAGAGCTCCGCGATCTTCTCATTAGCAGCTTTGAGTTCTGCTTCACCTTGTTTGGCACGGCAGAAGTGTGTCATCACAGGTCTCAACTCCCGGGTTCCTTGACATGTCTGCAATCGAGTCTCGCTTGGCTACCGCCGCCTGCAGCTTCTGCAAAGCAGCGATCACGAGCCTGCCGTTTGGACGCAGAGCATCCAGGCATCCCATAACGGTGCTCTTGAGAGCTTGCACGCTCATGAAACGTTTCATGAAATATTTCGTGCCTCGGTGCATCCTCAGGCCGGGCTCCGGCACTTGTCAGATCCTGAGCATCAATTCCAATTTAGGTTTGCCTACGGTTTGCCTACGCTTTGCCTTCAATGTTGACGCTACACGCAGCAGTTCGGAGCATCTCATGTTGAACCAACTCTCGCCAAAGCAGACAAGCGGCAGGGTCCGGTAGGTGAATCTGCTCCTGCTATGTACAGATGGTTTTCCACTTGTTCAGAAGCCATAACTTCCCAAAATCCCCAGCTGTGCATCCGAGAAGCTAAGAAATCTGCCAGCACCAAGGGAATGCCCCTGAGGAGGTCCTGATGACTTCCAATGTGACCATCATGTATACGGAGCAGGGAAACATAGTGCAGTGTGTATGAAATCCTTTCAATCATGAGCTACGTCACCCTATGCGCCAACATGCAGCTCACTTAAGGGAGTCCTCTCGTCTTTTGACCTCTGCCTGCGAAACTTGGTGCCGAATGGCCAGGTTGGGTCACTTGCGATGGCCAAGACAACTGGAGCCACGAATACATGCGCGCCTGGATGGTGGCGCACTTTGCATATGCATCAGATAGCTCCTGTCCAGCGCATGACACAGACGGATGACAAATGCATTGAATTTATGTATTTGGCACTGAACACGCACAGGTCAGCACCAAAGTCAGCTTTTGTCCACGGCTTCAGTCCAATCCGGCCCTCTTTGGATAACTAGCTTCAGTAACCTCCGTCGCCACCCTGGTTGTCGTACCCGCCCTGGTACCCGCCATCATGCTCTTCCTGCAGGGCGGCTGGGCGAGCACTCCATGCAATGCTACTCATAGCAAAAGTTAGTGCACCTGTCAACAGGGTAACTTTCGAGGTGCGAAACCCCCTCCTGTGGCATCATCATAGGCACTTCCTCCTTGGGCTCATGGACGATCACGTTGTCCGGGAGCTGCATCTTAGGTCCCATCTTGCCCTCTGGATCGTGGGACATCATGATCTTGACCTGGTCTGTGATGCGTCTCAGCTATTGCAGGTGGAGACTTCTACAAGGCTACAGCCCACTAACTGCTCCCGCTAAATACTTTGTTTGTCAAAAAATCGCCTTGATGCCAATGGTTCCTTGTCGCATCTGCACATGTCGAACCGCTTCAGAGATGTAATGTCGCTTGGGCTCGCCTGTAGAAATTAGGTAGCCTTGCCTGAACTTCATGGCCTTGGCGCGCTGGGCACGAAGCTTGCCGCTGATAATGACTTCAACGCCCTTGGCTCCATTCTCCATGATGAACCTCAAGACCCCGTAGCATGCGCGACGGACTGCCAAGCCTCCAATGAGCTTGAATCGCAGGGACTCGCATTGTGCCATGGCGCAGCTGGCTCGGTTTTCTACTCTCTCAGCGAAGAGCTCCACGCTGTTCTCGGGAAATCCGAAGCGCTTCTGCACCAAGGCTGTGAGCTCTCTGATGCGGCGCCCCTTCTCCCCCAGAACCTCACGAGTTCGCGTTGCTCGGATGATGATCTCGGTTCGGATGGGCGTCACTCGCACCTCTACTCCGGCATAGCCGTCTTCACCAAGAGTGCGAGCCAAGAACTCATTGAGCTCCGCGTTGAAAACCCCGTCTGCGACGAACTTCCTTTTCTTAGACACCTGACTGGCACTCATCTTCGACGAGGGGGCAGAGGACTTGAGCCTGGAGATACCGCTTGCAAGGGAGCAGTTCACAACCCCGACGTGATTTTCCTGCGCTCAATCTGCAATTCCCGGTCCCGAGCGACTTCCTTGTGAATTTGGCGCCCCAGAACTTCAAAACAAAACCCTAGCTGCTCCCCCCCCCCAAAAAAAAAAAGAGTAAAACTAGCGCTTGAAACAAGTAAAGTGCTGGGCCTCCTCAAGGCGTTCGGCTTCGGTCGCCAGGAGCTCTGCAGCAGTAAGCTCGGGTGCTGCTTCCTTCTGCGGTCGCAAGGCGAAAAGCTGAATGGATGGTCCGTGGGTGGGGAGCTGGAGGCTTTCGAGGGCAGTTGATATCAAGCAGATTGGGCTTTGAGTTGCACTTGCTCATTGCAAAACCTTTGAGTCGTTTGGTCTCCAGACTTCAAGATGGCAGCGAGAATTGAATAACCACGGCTGTTCCGTGACTGGTGCTCCTCACGTCGTCTCAGCTGGTCCTGTGAAGATGCCACCAGGACGGCACGCAGCTATGATCACAAGGCATTGGCTCCTCGAGCTTCGAAACTCTTTCCTCCACTTCCGCCAGCTCTGCCACCTTCCTTGGAAACCGCCTTAAGAACGTTTAAAAGTCGACGTTGCTGGGCTAGACGCCAACGTGCACTAACCAGACAATTGTCGACAGGCATCTGTGAGAGGTCGGTGCGGAGCTGTTGGTTCTCGGCCTCCATCTCCGGCACCCTTCTCAGCATCAGCTCTCCTTGCCTGCCCCGGAGCACTTTGCAGCATTTTTTTGCAGCAAAGTTGTGTCCACTGCCCCCTGCCCCTGGCCTCTGCTTCTCTGATGCTTCTATGAGTTGCGAGCCCATTCGAGTACCGACAAGCTGCAGATCACCTCAGGCAGCAAAAGGCAACCATCCTACTTTTCCTGGATGACTATTTACCATTTGCTGACGTTGGTGCCTGCAAACCCACGTACAAGTAGGCACACATGGGCTAATGCACAATCCATCAACCCAGCTAATGCGAACCGAGGCTACGAATTTGCAGATCCTTTGCTTCGACATCCCGTCTGGCGTTTTCTAGTTCCTCTGCAAGGACCACCTGAGTTCCAATCGCCCGTGGCAATTGGATTTGTGAGAACGCGATGTTGCAGTTGTGCGCCTTCCATTGTACAGAGCCTTACTTCCTCCCCCAAGAAGCCCAAGATTGGATCAGCCAGTACATTGATGATTGCTATGTTCTTCCGCTAGGCATTGAGAATGCCCCGTCTGCTTCGCAGTTGCCATGCTGTCAACTTCCGAAGCATCTTGCGAAAAGGCGGCTGCTGAAGGAATAGCTTCCCGATGCTGAAGTTGCGAACGCAGCCGGATAAGCTCCTCCTGCACAGGAACGAGATGACGCTGCCCAGGCAACCTTTCCAGGTCTCCTGCATCTTCTGCTTCTCCTGCAGCACCTGAAGAAAGGCTTCCCATCACCACCGACAGCACATCAAACCAGAAGGATGCTGCCTTGCCCAGCTCCGAAGATTCCTTGGCCTTGCCCTTCTGCAAAGCCCTCTCCTGTGCCATGCTGTGAATCCCTGAGCTGCTTAGCGGTAGGAGCCCAAAAGGTTTGCGATCTTGCGCCTACGGGGCGGGAAGCTAACGCAAAACAGTTTGATTTGCAGCAATCATGATCATGAGAAGGTTCTCGTGTCTGTTGTGAATCGTGTCCTCAGCCTTCCCTGTTCTTGAGACGAGCTTTCTACGCCAAACGTGTGCTCCACCGGGCCTGGCGGGGTTCTCACCCCGCGATCAGCATCAGAAGGCGCCCGTTTTACACCACATGTGGGGTCTTGCCCCGGGAAGGCTGCCAAATGGGGCCAGCTCAAGGGTTCCCCCCAACAACCTTGTCAGACAAACTGCAAGGCCGGACTTAAATCAAAGCACGCAAAGCTGTGAAGAAGCTTTCGTAACTAGAGAACACGTAAAAACAAAGGAGAACACGTAAAAACAAAGGCATGGAGCAGCCGGATTTGTCCTGGTCCCCTTACGACGTGGACTTAAGACAAAATGGAACTGAAACACAACAATGTACCTATCCACAGCAGAAGTCCTGTTTCTTGACCGTCTCAAGTTCAGACTGCAGGCGCTGGACCTCACGGGCATCCGGCAGGGAAAGCCTATCAGGATGCTGGATCTTTTTAGCTCACTTTTTAGTACACATGCACATGTGGGGACCTACCGGAAAAACTGATCTCCAGCGGCCTCCCCGGAAGCGAAGCGGAGCTGACTATCCAGTTCCTAGATTTCGGCCGGGGTAGGAATCAGGAGGGTCGGAGGAATCATCCCTAATCCCAAATAAACAATCACGTCCGCAGGGACGCCAATGATAAAGTCAAACAGCTGAGACTGAAGGGCTTCCACCCAACTTGGCTGACACAACTACAGAACATTGAAAACGCTAGCATTGAAGTTGCATCGTGGGACTTGCATGGGGGATACAACTCCATTGCATGCGTCATGCAAGGGAAGTGCTATGGCGAGCTCGCAAAGATGCAGGTCCTCAATCTGCTGCACTGAAGATCGCTCACCCGCAATCTGTGCCTGCCAGCAATACATAGCACAGCTCAGCTTGCCAAATCCGCCCCGAAGATCCGAAAGCTAGGCAGCAGACGGATCTTAACGTAGATTCGCAATGTTGTCGGCGTGCAACCCCCACACGTTTTCAACATGCTGGCAAGTCTTATGCCCGCTGCCTGGAAGCGTTCCAGTTTCTCACGCAAGCCGGAAATCTCTCCATTGAGCCGCTCGACCTCTCCTGCAAACGAGCCATATCCGTCAGTTTCAGGGTAGTGCAGTACACTGCAAACATGAACACGTATGTCCAAGAAGTGGAAATACCTCTACTAGCAATCACATTGTCCAAATAATCTCCGCAGCGACGGTCAAAGAAAATGATAGGCTAATACGCATCATGAGCACAAGGAAGGAAAGTGGCTCCAATTATACTGCTAGCCTACCAGCTACTGGCAAATCGACTGCGCTTGCCACTCGCGACTCTGAAAGCAAAGCTGGGCTTTGACTTTGAAGGAGTGGTGCTAGAGCAGTTGTGAAAGCTGCAGCTTTCTGGGAACCGCGAGGATCTATATCACCAACGACGGAGCATCAGCAAACATGTTCATGAGCATTCTGTCTCATTCGATGTCCGGGCAAGCCCTTTTTCTGTCATAAAAGGAAGGTCTCGTGCGGAAGCGTGTGAAATCGGGTAGTCCGGATTGTGCTGCCACTTTCGACAATCTTTGGCACATTCCAGAACCGACCCCACTGCTGTCGTGAAATGTGTTGGTGACGCTCAGTCAAACCAGAAAAGATGGCTGCGTATGGAGAACAATCAGCGCTTGTGGAGAAGTAGTCAAACCAGCAGCTGTGCTCGTCGACCTCAGCCTGCAGAGTAGCATGTGAGCCAAAATGCGCAGCCAGGTGCTTCCAAACATGCTGACTGCTCTCTTTGCATATGGTCGTGTTCGCGTGCCTTCATGCCTGCGACTGTCTCCTTTGGCAAGGAGGAGAGAAACCTGTAGAGTTCCTCGCCGACCTGCGCCTCCGGCCACTTGATGCTTATGCGCCTCCAGTCAATCAGGTGTTGGAATGCCACTTCGTACTCGTCGGACAGAATGACAGGGATACATCCGCAGTGGATGCTTTCGTATAGCTGGTTTGTCCAAGGCGAAGTGCCAGCAGGGATTAAACAAAAATGGGCGTTGCCCTTAACCTGCAGGTAGTCGGAAACAAATCCGCCTTGGTGACATGTTGTGCTCGCGTCATGCACTTGCAGCGAAATGATTCGAAGAAGACCGAAGTGAACCCCGATAGATGTCAGACTAGAAATCAAAAAGATTCAAAAAAAGGAATGCCAAGCACAACCAGGGGCCTACATCGACACCTTCAAACTGCCCGAGGTCCATGACACGATCTCTGATCTCACACTGCTCGTAGACTTCCTTGTTGCCGGAAAAGCTGCCGTGGAAGGTCATGATCAGCTCCCGCTCCTCCGTGGGCCGATTGAAGCGGCGCATCGCCTGCAGCCGCGCATGGTCAATGTGCCCCGGGATAATTATGTCCTTCCAGCTGGAGCTGCACGATTTGATGTCGCTATACCTTCTCACAGGCTCATCCCACGTGGGGCATTTGGACTCAACCATCAGGAAAATTGCCTCGCTTCTGACTAAGTCGTACGCATCCCAGATGCGGGCAGACTGGCCATCTGCAAACAAGAAGATGTGATCCATAAGCCTATTCCGCTGGGCCCAGGGCTCGGCAAATATATGTCTGACCAAGGGGTCCCAAATCATGGCAGCTGCATCACCATCGTTATCCAGGGCCTGCTTCGTAAACAGGCATGTGCCGTAGATTGGGACAAAGAAAAAGTGGGCCTCCTCCGGATGCAGTGTTCTGCACGCAGAGCTGAGCAAGTATTGGTGAAATAGGACTTCTGTGCCCCACTGGCCCAGCACGCAGTCCAACGGATGGCTGGTAAGATTCTCTGGCACGTCGTATACCTGACCAAAGTTGTCTGTTAGTACGCTACTGGGCCGCACAGTCACCTGAAATCGAAAAAAATCAAGAAAGGTTCGAAAACACTACTTGCAGGCACAATGTGCGTAAATCTTCAGGTCTGAGCCATGACAATGCGTCTCATCCAGACCCAGCAGGAGGGAGTACGTGTGGACAGTGTCATTGACCCACTCCTCCTTGAGTGCCGACACTTCAGCAACACCCTGATCTTCCAGTTGACTCGCCAAATCCGTGGCCAGCTTGTACATGCCTCAGCAACAGAGCACATGTCTCTTCCTGATAAGGCATCCGCTTGTCATGGCACGCTCTTGCATTGTGTGCTCCTTGCCAGTTTCATAAGGAAGCACCACATGCGTTTCACGTCCCAGACCTCGGCCATCTTCCAGGGAGTAGTCCACGGAGGATGCAAGGACAGAGTCCATCATGATCCTGGCTATTGCAGCTCTACAGAGGGCTCTGGGACCTGGGGTTCGGAATGTTGGGAGCTGTCGAGGTGCTCAGCCTAGTTGCCCAACTCCTTGGGTTGGGGGTGCAGACGAGAGTCTGCAAGACTGCCAAAGGGCAAAGATCAAGATTTTCCTGGGCAGGGGCCGCTTCTGCGGTCGCAACCAGCAACATGTGCAAGCCCGAGCCCAAGTATGAAGGTGCACGAATCCCTACAGCAATCAACGTGCCATCAGTGCCTCTAGCAGCCCGGCACTTGTCGAAAATTGCCCTTGCATGTTATTGCATGGTATGGCATGCAGTACTCAATTGAAACCTGCCCTGACACGACAAGCATCTTCGAAGCTGGGCAGGAGCTTGTATTCGTAGATAGTGTGCCTTTCATGGAGAAAAGCAAGCACCATGACGCTGAGCTCTATACTACCTTGTGCCAAACGCAGGCCACACCCAGGAATTGGAATAAGCTTGCGGAATGCAGCAACAGAACTTACGACAAGCTCTTCCTGCGTTTGTCATCCCTCCCCTGGCAGACTGCAGCAGTTACAAATGATCTGTTTTTTGAGTCGGGAAGCAGGAGCTCCCGCGAGCGTGTCAAACTGTCCTTGGAGCGTGAATATGCGCAAGACAGCATGCTGTCAGACATTCACTTGGCAAAGACGCTCTCATGTACTCGGCGTGCCATCCCTCGTACCAGTTGAAGAAATCTTCCGGTAGCCCCGCAGCTGGCAAGCCTGTCCAGAAGGCCAACTTCGGTTCACATCTTGCTGAGACATCTCTTTGCTGCAGTTCCCGGAATATCCTTGCTTGCCTTCACAGCGCAGAGACACCGCCCGCGCGACGCCCAGAACAGACAGTAGCCCAATTCCAAGGAACCACCATGGCATCGATAAGAAACATAAGGCGTTTGGCTTGTGCTGCGTGGCATTAGCAATACTGGCTTAAGAACTGAAGAGCGGCTTACCTGAGATTCCAAGCCGGGCACACCTGCTCCCGATGATTTTAGACGCGCAGATGATGAGTTTACAACAACCATGGTGTGATACGCTGTGACGTTCTTCTGCGCATGCAGCAGTCTTTCTCCCTGTGCCGGCGTGAGATGTGTGGCAAAATGGAGGCATACGCCACTGTCTGAGTGGCCTGGCTACGTCGCCACGTGACAAGACCATCAAGCCCTGTCTTCGTGCCACCGTGACATGTGCAACCGGCTGAACAGATTTGGATTCCAGTCCAAATCCGTGTTAACAACGTAGCCAGTCCTCGAGCAGCACGGGCTTCCTCCTCTGCCGTCCCACATGCAGCCAGTGTACGTCATAGGTGCAGGCATCATGTCGCCAATGCGAGATCAAGCAACACCTTGTTCATCCTTTTTTCTATTTGCGATAGCCTTCAAACAAATACCTCGAGGAATCGCACATGATTTGAGATCGCCCCAGCACCCCACGTCCTCTGTCATCTGCAATTTGACCGTCAACGTGGCCGCCTTTAGCTCCCTTAGTGGCATGTTTCACATCACAGCGAAGGTACAAAGTAAAGACATTCTCGATATGTACCTGCAAGCGAAGTCTGACTTTCACCAAGCGTCGCATCGTTCAGCTCCTTGGGTGCATCGAGGCCCCCCCTACTCAACTTCATCTGCCGGGCTTGGGACATGAAGTGGGGCACATACCTGAATCTGCAACTAAGGCTCCTTCGACTGACCTTCAGTGCTCGTCTTCACCTATGCCAGAGGCTTAGCTTCCAAAACGAGTAAAACATGACTACCACAGATCTGTTTTTCTTTTGCTGCTTGAAGATGTGACAGCTTCGGGTTAAAAACGCAACAAGCTGAACCTGCCATCATCTGCCATCTGCCCTTTCCACCAATTTTAACATCATTGGCGACACACTCCTGGCTGCCTGCATGAGTTCAGCAGTGCGCTGTTGCAACTCTTGTCGAAGAGACTCTCGTTCCTGACAAAGATTCGGAAATCCGCTTTGAAGCTTTCCTGTGTTGCTGGGGCACTGCTGTCTCGCCCGCCTGCTCTGCCTGCATCCAGGCAGGCCTTCGACTCAACAAAACACGAGCAAGCGGCAGCAAGCACGTGACGGGGTAGAGGTGGCTTACTGGCAAAAGCAGTCCTAAAGCGCTTGACTCTACATTGCATAACCTCCTGCACACGAACGACAGCAAGACCTCAGACAGAGACCATCAAGCAGCTGCAGACATGTCGCCTCATGTTCTCCCGCATGGACGTCAAAACCTTACCTCAGTCGCGAGCAAATGACCACTACGCCTCCACCAAGCTGACCACCAGAGGTGTCATTTGAGATTCTACTATGCCGCCATGCCTTCTTCAAAGTTACTGCCGGCAAGTTGCCAATTGCAACATTGGGCATCAAGAGTTTGGACAGCAGCGGCTGTCCACTTACCGGGGAATTTGGTAAAGGAGCTGCTCCAGGCTTCTGGGCATGCTGCACGAACCAGTCCTCACGAAGCTGCATTTTAAGGGGGCTTTGCAAGCTGTACTGGAATCAAGGTGCTGTCCTGAATGCATCGGCGGCAGAATGAATGGCCTCAGCCCAAAGCAGCATTCTCACTGGAACTAGGGGGCTGCTGTGCCTCGTCTGCTTCCAGAATCTACCCGAGAACTTCTGAGCTGCAGGCCATCCACAGTCATGACAGGGTCCTGAGTAAACTTGAGTAAACAGCGTGCCAATTGCAGGCACATGGCCGAATGGCTTCTCGCATGTGATCCATGTAAGGATACGTGACGTGGGTCCTCGAAGGTCTTGTGGCACAAGGGGCAAGTCAGTCCATTGATGCTCCTTAACTGCTTAGTGCTGTGTGGAGCTGGTCGAACATGGCAGGCAACAATTGCAGAATGACTGCTAGTGGCTAGGCTCTGCCCTGCACCGGGCTCACAGCACTTAGTTGCCGAGCATCGGCAGTGGTAAAGGTAGCAGCTCTTCCGAGAACTCCGCCTGGTGCACGGTGGGCTGAAGTGCCTGCCAGGAAAATTGTCCATGCTTAGGCGACTCAAAATCATAAGCCCATCTAAAATCCTGAGTGCAGGAACTCCATGCTTGAAGAAGGAGGCTGTGGGTGCCTACCGTGCAAGGCTTTGCTCGCCTGAGTCGATAGCGCAAGGGGTGCCCGTGATGGAAAATCCATGCACTCAGGACGCTCGCGGAACCTGACAGGACTGCATCTGCTATGCTACGGGCTGCAATGATCGCAAGTGCCGGCAGTCTGCATAGGAGTGTTCGAATCTTCTCTTCAGCCATGGCTCGAACCGCCCGTCGTGACAGAAGGAGCTGGGAGGACAGTGTTGAGGACGCGCTCCTCCGCCTGTCCACTACGCGCAGGCGGCCAGAACATCCTCATCATACCATGATGGGGACCCCGTCAGTGGCAGGGAAGCTTTACATGAACCAACGTACCACATGCCTCGGCCTCCTGCATGCGCTTCTCTGCAAAGGCAGGCAGCGGCATGTCGCCATGGCTGCAGCGGCCATGGTCAAAACAGTCGACTACCCAGGGTTCAATACCAAGCCGCGTGCATGCAAGAGTAGCCGGCTACTGCAAGAACACTTGGTTAGAGGGGAAGCTGCGCTCCGGGACGGTCATCGATTGATGCTGTGGCTTTCAGTGGACACGCAAAGCAATCGCACGCCCCGCTAGACTTAAGAAAAAAAAGCGTCGCAAATTGCACCGAAAAGTTCAGGCCTGCAGGGGCTCTGCTAACATCTGTGAATGAAGCCTGGAATTCCAGTGCTGAAGATAATTCCGCACGACTGTGGTCCCGCACTTTCTGGCACACCTGAGGCGGGTAAGCAACAGTCTACTCCTGCTGTGCCCAGACCTAGCCCAGCCTGCGGCCCTTCCAACATGCTAGCCACCATCAAGCTAGTCGTTGCAGCCGCGGCATTGAAGACGTGATGCATGCTGCGATATCCACATTTTTTCGGTAATATCTGAAAGCGCATTCTGCTGCTTGCAGGCAAGTTGCCACTCCCGGTCTCTCAGGTACGCCTCGCGTTCCTGATCACATGCTGGAATCAAAGGCTAGAGTAAACAGTATGGTGCTATGGATCGCTTCTGCAATGGTACCTGTCCACAATTCTCTTTGGCAGGGCACAAGCAAAGCTGTCAGCACAGTGTAAGAAAGGTGCCTCACCACAATCACATTTCAGGCTGATACAAGGCCAAGCAGCCGAGTACTTGCCATCAGCCACGGTGGGATGTCCAGCCCCAACGAAATGCTGCCGCAGCTCCCCACGCCGACTCTTATTCACCTGCGCGTGCCCTAACTAAGCATCTAAACTGAGGCCAAATGTACAGCACCATCGTGCAAAATCTTGCTGCGTTCAGTTGCACGTCGCCATTGCGCTTTTTTATTGCTTTTTTCACTGCGAGTGAAATGCGCTTGTCCTGAGGGCTTCCAAGCGGCGCCTTGGTTGTGTCCATATGCACGGAATGCACTACATTGCTCTGAAATGACCTGCACTTTACTGCCAGCAGAAGCTGCATCAGCATGACCAACATGCCGAGGTGCTGCCAACAATGAATGCAGACTTTGGCTTCATTGGGCGCCGCTACCAAGTCCAAGGCCAAACCCTGCATGTTCTGCTACTGTGGTGCTGGCTGTGGTGCTGGGAAGGCTCTGTTCGCAGCAGCAGCAGCATTACGCTATGCAAGTACTCCTAATACATTTCGTTTCAGCAGTTTCTATGATGCGATGGAAGGCAAAGCATGGCAATTTGAAAACACCAAAACCAGCACATCTGAGGGAAGGCTGGCCGCCAGCACTGTTAGATGAATCTAGACTGCATCCCGGCCTTGCAGCCTGTGGCACAGCGCTGTGCAGTGATGACCAGCTGCGGCAGCTTTGAAGTGGAGGGCGCCACCGGCAAAGGCTGCTTCTGTAGGGAGCTCTGCAGGCTTCAAGGAGGTCTGCTCAGCACAGCGGGTAGGACAAATCGTTGGCCCTGTCCCTGCCCC